ACAAAGCAGAGAAGGAAACTGACATTCCTTCAGAAAAGCTTTTTCCAAGTACAGAAACCTAATCAAAATTTCTTCCATGGGTCCTCATGAAAAGGGCACCAAGTGGTAGAGTGAGTAACATTCCAAGTGACCTCCCTAAATAAATCCAAAGGCACAGTTCTAACACATAATTTTTATAAAAATATTTAATAATTGTATAAGCAAACAAAAATGTGGTTTAATTTGGCATGCTCTAGGCATGGAATTTAAAATACACTCAAAAACACGTAGATTACAAATTCTTTAGTAAGTTATCCCTGAATAACATTATTCAAACTGAGTTTTTGATAAAAATTACATGGCAAAGCATTTTAAGTTATACTCTCTGGCTAAAACCTGAAGGTTATACATGGCATGTAGGGAATAGCTAGCAGATTATCATGCTTTGACAATCAAATAGGCCTGCAGGGATACTGACATCCCCTTATTAAAATGAGGAACCTAACTAAGACTTGGGCTTAGATAGACTTTCATCCAATAACTGCATAGAGTTGATTCAAGGTAGTGACTCTGGGCAGAGCCAACATTTTACTCACTCTTGGGGCTGCTGCAAATATGGGCAAATGAGTAACTGAAGGTCCAAATTCTCCATTAAAGACTATGGCTGCAAGAATGTTCATATAGAAAATGTTATGAACAGGTATTACAAATAACCAGAGCACCCATTTATAATGTTGGTGAAGTATCCACAGAACAGTGACTATTAAATCCTGAAATTAAACTATGTTTGTCTTCTGATGATCCTTTACAGTAAATCAGAAAAGCATTGGTATAGATTTTTCTCCAGCCTACTTAGAAGCCAAGGTATAGGAAAATTTGTTTAGTTACATTGGTTCAGAGATTGAGATTGTCAAGGTGTCATGACAAATCTACCACAAATTTCATAAAACCACCAAAAGATATTAGATCTGGAGAACACAGCAGAGTTAAGAACTTGACAATTATGGTGAGGGTTGAAGGACAGGCAAAAAGGACCAAGATAATTGGAGTGATAGAAACAAAAGGTCCCTTTGTTAAAGTAGGAAAATTCTGGCTTTCAGTTTCCTAAGAGAATCAGATCCAGTCGTGAGAAATTTCAAGGTATAATCACACACATGAATGGCTAATGTGAAATTAATGAAAGTTGATAGAATAGAAAAGCTTAGGAATGGCGAGCCTAGAGTTGCTGAGGACTCAATGTCCAACAGCCAAAATATACTCGCCTACTTCAAAAGAACTATACACTGAGCTTCAGTTATTTGCTAGTCATTATTTCCTATTTACTTATGTAAGTTACTTAGTTAAACCAATTGGTTTGAAAACAATAGCCAGCAAATAAAGTGCAAATTGTTTCATAACTAATACACTTTTTCAAGCTAATTGAACTCTATGTGCTAAGGACTTTGGCATCGACAATGATGACTAACAGCTGAAAAGGGAGATGAAGAAAAGTTAATGTGAGGGGAAATGAAAACTTGGATTTATAGTGTAGTCCAGTTGACTAAAGTTTCGAAATAATATTGACATACTGATAGTAAATGGAAAAAGGAATGGTGGAGAAAGCAGTTACGATTTCACAGAAACCACTTCCAACAGAAATACCATTTTAGATTGCTGATCTTGTAAATGAATGTTTACAATATCATTTTTAAGAGAAAGTTTTATTTCCATTGTGGTTACTAATGCATCTGAGTCACTTGTATATTCTTCTCCAGTGTGATGTATAAAAGGTCAATGAAGAAATAAATCACTTTGAAAAAGACCTATGTTTAACAGAAGATCTTAGGAAGGTCATCCTTAAAGACCATGTGTTAAGTTGGCTGAGTATCAATACAATGAGTATTCATTGATTCACAAGGAACTCATGTCCCTAGGGCTCCAGTTTCTAAGAGTGGTCCACAGTGGTAGATTCAAGCTGAACTCTGAACTTGAAATGAAATCCTATGTCATTTGAACTCTTTCTATTCTCGAAACTGTGAGATCCTCTGACAAATTCTGCTAACAGTTCCAAGGTTTAAAATTGGGGAAGTTAGAGACATGTTATTATTATTATTTTTTAATTTCAACTTTTATTGTAGACACAGGGAGTACACGTGCAGTTTTGTTAAATGGGTATATTGCAAACACACAGTGAGCATAGTACCCAATGGGTAGTTTTTTCAACCCACATCCCCCTTGCTCCCTCCCCTGTCTAGTGGTCCACAGTGCCTATTGTTCCCATGTACATGTCCATGTATGCTCAATACCACAATCCTAAGTGAACTAATGCAGGAACAAAGACATGTTTTTGTTTTTATTTGAATGCTACATCTGGGGCTGGCTAGGACTGAGAAGACACTATGTCTTGCTGACATGTCAGTCCCAACTTGAGCCTCTTCTGTGTGTGTGTGTAAAAAAGAAATCTTATTTATTTATTTATCTATTTTTAAATTATAAATTCATAGGGTACATATGCAGGCTTGTTACATGGGTGTATTGCATAATGCAGGGATTTAGGCTTCTAGAGAACTCATCACCCAAATAGTGAACATAGTATCCAATAGGTAGTTTTTAAATTCTTGTCCCCCTTTCCACCCTCCCCACTTTTGGATTTCTCAGTATTTTTTTCCATCTTTATAGCCACCAACATGAGTCTTTTGATGAAATAATGCCTGGCTGAGGTCCACAACTTAAAACAACATTCCAACATAGATTCTCATGATCCCTGAAGAAGTATGCTTGATGTGGCGAAATATCATCAAATGATTAAGTCAACATAGTAGAAGGAAAGAACAGTTCTTTATCAGATTAAATGAGTGAAACAGCTAAATGTCAAGTGACAAAATGTTGGGACTGACTGTATAAAATGCTAATAACATCTACCAAATAGTTTGCGTTGCGCTAAACAACTTATGCACATTATTTCTTTGATTCTTTTTAACACACTGTTGTGGGCTGAATGGTGTCTCCCAAGAAGTCATATGCTGGGATCCTGTCCTGTAGTGCCTCACAACGTGACATTGTTTGGAGTAAGGGTTGCTGAGGATGTAATTAGTCAAGATGAGGTCATACTTGAGTGAGCTGGGTTTCTAATCCAATGTGACTGGTGTCTGTAAAGGGGAAATGTGGACACAGGCACACGCATAAGGAGAACACCATGTGAAGATGAAGGTAGAAATTACACTGATGTGTCTACAATCCAGGGAACACCAAAGATTGACAGAAAATCACCAGAAGCAGAGAGAGGCAAGAAACATTCTCCCTCAGAGCCTTCAGAAGAAAGCAACCCTGCTGGCACCTTCATCTTGGACTTTGAGCCTCCAGAACTGTGAGGCGATACATTTCTGTTGTTTAAGCCACCCAGTTTGTGGCATTTTGTTACAGCAGCACTAGAATCCTAATGGACGCTGTATTGGATACATATTTTAGGCTTAGGTAGGGTGGATTAAAAACTGTCTTTGTGAGATTATACCTATGAATTAAATCAAATACTTGAACTAAATAAGGTATGGTATATACATTCCTCAGACAGAGGCAAAAAGAAAGACACTTCTCCATTCCTCATGGATATGCAGCAAATGAAGAAAACTGCTAGCACAAGGAATGGCAGTCTTGTGTGCTTTTCTTGTGTGATATTTTTTCAGGCTCATAACAAGTTCAGATTTCAAGCATCTAAATTTGCTAACTTCTCTGCACTTACTCCAAGGCCAACTAAGAGAAGAGAATTGCTGTTCTATGTCAAGAGAGTTTCCCTTCCACACAGCAAGGTAATAGGCTGTAGGCCTCTCATGAAATAGGTTACTATGATGGTTTGGGAGGGTTGATAGGCAGACACAGAGTTTTAAAGCAGTGGAAATGTTTTGTGTGATACTATGATAATAGATACATGTCTCTATACAATTGCCCAAATTCATAGAATGCACAACACCAAGAGTAAACCCTAATATTAACTATGGACTTTGGGTGATTGTGATGTGTTGATACAGGTTTACCAATTGTAACAAATGTATCACTCTGGTGGAGGATGTTGATAATGCAGGAGACTACGCATGTCAGGCAGGAAGTATATGGGAAATCTCTGCACCTGCCTCTTAGTTTTTCTGTGAACCTAAAATTGCTCCAAAAGAAATAAAGTCTTTAGAAAATTGCTATAGTGCCCATTAGCTAACATTCCCTTGCCTTTGTGGCCCCTCTCTTCAATGAAGGATTGCTGAAAGGAGTGGGAAATTGTCCTACAGCAGGGAGTAGAAGGCAGGGGATGAACAGATATCACCATCTCCATTTGTAAATGAGGACAGCCATACTTAAAGAGAAAGTATTCTGCTCAAGCTCCACCATTAGTAAAAGTCCAGTATTTAAATCCAGAAGTTACTCCAATCTTGTGTTCATAACCACTGGACTATGCTGCTTCCTAAAACTCACTTATTAGCGTGACATAATGATAGTGTTCAGAAAAAGCTTTTCCACTCCGCATGTTTTTTTATGTAAAAAATAATGCATGCTTATTGAAATGACTCAAATAATACTGAGTCATATAAGGAAAACTTTAATGTTATCTGCTTCCACTTTCTTGTTATAAACTCACGCCCTTGAAGTAACCAAGGGCCACAGTTTGATATTTATCTTTCCGTGTGTTTACCTACTCCATACAAATAGATCCCCAAAAAAAGCACAGAGGGGTTTTTATTCCTGTCTTCTTTAAAAATTGGATGATACTCTTTATATTGACCATCCCTTCAGGTATTTTAATCGACACATAATCATGTATATGAATATATATGGCTTATATATATAACTGTATATGACATATATGTATTTCGTACACGACAATCTAGTGCTTTTTTAATCTGTAAAACAGATTCCCAAAATAGATAATACTGGGTCAGAGAATATATATATATTTTTTAATTTTATAAAATCTAGCAATTTACTTTTCAAATTGTTTTACCAATTCACACCTCAATCAGCACTGCTTAAGACTGACAATTTCCCCACACTCTTACCAGTCCAGAATTTTATCTGGTATGTCCATCTGAATGTCCACACACAGGCAATTCCATAGCTGGTTCATTCAGTAGCTCCATAGTTTTAGTTCTCTGTGTTAACCGATTTGGAGTCTATTTGGCTCTTCCCTCATATCCACAAGACGGCTGCTCCATGTCTAGAGATCTCTTCTTCCTGTGAAGATGTAAGCAGCAGAAACTATCCTGGGTGACTTAATCATAAAAAGGCTGTTAAAGGATGATCAGTAGCTCACAGAATCATTAGGGAGGCTGAAGAACCAGATTTAGGGACAAATAGTCTGAATAATAGTCAAGCCATGGCATAAAAGTGATCAGAAAATACACGTTTGAGATGATGAATATGCTAATTACCCTGATCTGATCACTATGTACTATGTGTATGGAAACATCACCACATACCCCAGGAACATATACAAGTATTATTTTTTCAATTTTTTTTTTTTTAATACAAAATCTCATTCTGTCACCAGGCTGGAGTGCAGTGGCACAATCTCAGCTCACTGCAACCTCCGCCTCCCCAGTTCAAGCGATTCTCCTGCCTCAGGCTCCCAAGTAGCTGTGACTACAGGTGCGCACCACCACACCCAGCTAATTTTTGAATTTTTAGGGTTTCAACATGTTTGCCAGGATGGTCTCGATCTCTTGACCTCGTGATCTGCCCACCTCAGCCTCCCAAGGTGCTGGGACTACAGGCATGAGCCACTGTGCCCAGCCTTTATTTTCTCAATTTTTAATAAATTAACTCAATGACAAAACAAACGAGACCATTTCAAAATCATGGAAAATAAAAACTGACACTGCTACCAATTCTGCACCAAACAAATTAAACTTGCAGCAACTAACCTCCTCGAGAATTTTTTTTCTTTTTTCTTTTTTTTTTTTTTTTTTTTGAGACTGAGTCTTGCTCTGTTGCCCAGGCTGGAGTGCAATGGCGCAATCTTGGCTCACCGCAACCTATTCTCCTGCCTCAGCCTCCCAAGTAGCTGGGATTACAGGCATGCACCACCATGCCCAGCCAATTTTTGTATTTTTAGTAGAGATGGGTTTTCGCCATGTTGACCAGGCTGGTCTCAAACTCCTGATCTCAGGTGATCTGCCTGCCTCAGCCTCCCAAAGTGCTGGGATTACAGGCATGAGCCACTGTGCCTGGCTGAGAATTTCTTACTGTGATACTGTGAAATATATATTTGGTATCTGCACCTGGTTCCTGAGACACAGCTCCTAATACCTTCATAGATAGGGATGCTAAGACAATCTTTTGCTCTAATATTTGGTCTTTGAGCCCAGTTTTGGCACAGAGCTCCTAAGACCTTTATGATTTCCTGAGTGCTAAGAGTGTCTGACAAAGAACTTCCAAATCCCTTGGAATTTCTTAGGCAATAGAAGCATCCTCTGTTCTAATGAGGTGACTCTTGGTGGGTACCTGCATAGCTTCATGATTGGGGTTGGTTGGCTGCTAGAAGAACAAATCATGTGATTAGAGTGTTGGAACTTTCCATCTCAGCCCCCAATCTCTGGAGAGGTGAGAAAGGCAAAAGGTAGAGTTGACCACTAACAGCCAGTGATTTAACTAATCATGCCTATGTACTAAAGCATCCATAAAAAACTAAAGATCACGGTGCAGAGAGCTTCTAGACTGCTGAATAAGCGGTAGTTCCTGGAGGATGATGCACCCAGAGAGGCATGGAAGCTCTGTACCTCTTTCCACATACATTTGCCTATGCATTTCTTCCACCTGGTGGATCATCTGTTTGCTTTGTAGTATTTTTTATTAAAAAATGGATAAATGTAAATAAAATGTTTCCCTGAGTTATGTGAACCACTATAGCAAATTAATTGAACCCAAGAAGGAGGTCATGGAAACCCCAATTTATAGTTGGTTGTTCAGAAGCACAGGCCAAAGCCTGGAGCATGTGATTGGCATCTGAAGTTGGGGGGAGTCTTGAGGAACTGAGCCTTCGATCTATGAAATCAGACACTAATTCCAAGTAGATAGCTGGGTGAATTAGAGGACTCCAAGCTGGTGTCCGGGAAAAACTCACACCAATTTTGGTGACCAGAGTGAAGTGTAGTGTTGAGAAGAGAGAGTAGGAAAAAAGTTTGCTTTTCCATCAAAGGTACCATGTCTGTTTCTCATATTACTTGAAGGAGTCTAAATCATACTACATAGGAAACTGCAAAATGTAGCATCTAAAAGTTTTCAACTTTTGTGGTAGGAGGCAGTCTGTGCCTCCCACCAAAACTCATAAGGTATGAGTTCATCAAACTGTACAGAGAGAGTTTGGGTGCTAGGTGGCAGAAAAGAATAATCAATGTGTGCAGCATACCTTCTTTTTGAGTTTAGCCATTCTAACAGATGAAAACTGATTTCCCATTCTTTCTCTTATAACATCTTCCTAACACTATGTTTAAGATATGTTTTATTTCATTTTCCTAACTTGTACTTTTATCTTTTCCAATTGTTAATGTAGTTTTGTGTTCTTAAATTTTTAATGCAATTTATATTTTGGTAATATCTAAAATATCAATCATTTTATTATTCATTCACCATAAAATGTGGCTACGGTTTGGACATTTGGATTAAGTAATGACATTGTAATTCAGCCAGAACTGGCAGTAATCATCAGTGTTTGGGATGTTTTGAGAACAAAAGTCTCAGTTCCTGGAAGGGTGGCCCTTCATATGAACTCAGAGTGCACACTCTGTATGGTGTAATCCAAGATAGTTGAATGGTCTGCCTGCCAAAAATAGGCCTCCCACCAGGTTTTTATAAAGACTAGTATTACCAGCTTGAAGGCCTTTTTTCTGATTTAAGGTATTAAAACCTAAGGACCATGTTAAAAGATTGAAATTAACATTCACTGACTTGTTCATTCATTAATCTTTTTAAAGTTTTTTAATTGACGAAAAATAATTATATATATGTACAGGGTACAATGTGATGTTTTGATGTATGTGTACATTATAGAATGATTAAATCGAACTAATTAACATATCCATAACCTCACATACTTATGTTGTTTGCATGTGCTATGAATATTTAAAATCCACTCTCATAGCAATTTTGAAATATACATTACATTAACTATTATCACCAGGCTGTGCAATTGATTTAAAAAACTTATTCCTCCTATTTAACCAAAACTTTGTAAATATTTAATTAGTGCCTCTTATTAGCCAGACTCTGTTTGAGGCACTAATGACACAGAGTTAAAAGTCAAGTTTGAGCCTCTCTTCTTAGGCATATAACTGTAGGCAAATTACGTCAACTCTGGCCAGTTTTCACATTTAAAATAGAGATGATAACGCTACCCACTTAATGGGTTTGCTTTAAGAATTAAATGATATTGTTTACGGTGCCCAGAAGGAAGGTAGGCCCACTGGCAGTCAGCACATGTAATGGACCAAGGGGTCTTTGAAGAAAGAACATATCCAAGTACAGGCGATAAGCTTGTATTTGAGGACAATGGGGTAGTGTTGAATGGCAGGATTGGGGTGCTATCTGTGATCCTCCCATAGTCTGATGACAGGGCCGGCACCAAAAGGTGTGATCCAATCAAGCACCAAACTCTCATGCAAGGGCGTCGTCCAAACCAGAAACAGCCCATGGGGACTGCCAGTTAGCTTTGCCAAAAAATATCCTTCCTGTCCAAGTCTCCCGAGTCTCTGATAAGAAGAGCCACCTTGAAGCTTTGGACTCCAAGCATGGCTTTCCGGTACAACTTTAACACAGAGGTTTATATTCAATTACCTACAGATACCATAATTATCATTACTATCATTATTAATAAACCTACAGTTAATTACAACAAGGTATGACAAATCTATAACAGACGTAGGGTAGGCTGCTATGGTTGACGAGAGTATAGAGGGAACAGCACTGCCCAAATTGGAGCAGAGGAAAGAAAGTTTGTAGAAGGCACCTAGAGGAGAAAAAACTTGAATCAAGTCTTCAAGAATGAATATGAGTTATGCTGGAGAAGAAAGTATGTGTGTTTGGCAGGAAGTACAAATGCTTGGAGAAGACAGATTAAACAGCACATTCAAACTATGGGGATGTGAAAGAATGTGGAGTGTTGGTAGACTTATGAAAGGATAGCGTGGGCCAGGACATAATCTAAATGTGAGAGAATGGAGAGAGAGGATGTTGTTCAAATTATGGATGGCTTTGTATACCATGTTGAATTGAGACATTGTGTTCAATAATATAAGGAGACATAAAATGACTTTCAGGGTGGTGGTTGGGGGAAGGTCATGATATCTGTATTTTAGACTTTCTACTCAGAGAGTAGTGGGGAAGTTGACTGAAGGAGTTTAAGATTAGTAACCAGGAAAGCCCCATCATGTCAACGCAGTAATCTCATGGGGAGTGGCAATGGCTAAAGTAGGAGCAGAAGCAAGGAAGGAATCAATTTGATACACACTTAAGAGGTAGAATTGGCACTTAAGACAACTGGCTGGAGAACAAGGAAAACTCTTCAAATATTACCAGGTCCCTGGCCTGGACAACTGAGTTAATGTGGCACTATCATCAAGCATGGGATATAGAAGATCAGGGTCATGATATAGAAGATCAGGGTCAGTTTGGTGAGTATGTATAGACTCTGAGATGTCTGTGGAACACTATTCAATAAGACATGGAGCTCCCTGTATATAGCAATATTTTCATGATGTGGCAGATGTGTATTTTGTCAATTGGATGATCTCCATTTCTCATATTATCTTCCCCACATGATTCTTGTGAGTATGGGCCTCAAGAGGCACCTGGTGTGAGATTTAGAAGACAGAAGTGAAGTCACATTGGATTATTTTTATACTCCAAAGGCTGGAGCTGGGTATGAGATACAGTAACTACACAGTCAAGTTCTACCTGCCAACTTACCTTGGTGGCAACATTCAGTTTCATTCCTGTATAATCCCCTGTTCCTGCTGTAGCTCCTTCTTCAGCATCTCTTGGGCCAGGTGAATAAAAAAGGGGACTGCCTTCTACAGGATACCCATGTTATCAAGGGTTACTTCTTAGTAAGAGGTGGACATGGGTTCCAGTTCATCTTCATAAGCCAACTCATCCAGAAAGTCCCAGTTTTTCCTCCTGGGTTCTAGCTCAGACTGTCAGGTTCCACTTTGTCCACGGTTTCCTTCTTAAATGCCTGCTGTGATGACTTCAGGCTGATAGAGAAGAAAAGAGCCTCCCATATTATTATTGAATCGCCTCCCAAAATTGCAAAAGTTCAAGTCTCTGTGGATAATCCCTGCTGGTTCTTCTACTCTGATTGAACCCTGACTGACAAAACAAATGTGGTTTTTATAAACCTCTTTTTCATTTTATACAACTTGGTATATTTAGTCCAACTATCCAGACGCTTTGGTCTCTGGGACCAAAGGTTAGTAGTTTTAGAATTCCATCAGTCTAGCACCCTGCTGTTCCGTTAGCATTAGTGCAGTGGCCCATCTCCTCAAGCTCAGAAATCATGTGTACAATAGATTGACAATCTAAAGCAGGGGTTGGCCTGTATTTTCTGTAAAGTCACTAATAGTAAATATTTTAGGATTTGTAGCCCATAAAGTCTTTATTGCAACTATTCTGCTTGCAATATTGAATAACAAGCAGCCATAGAAAATATAGAAATTTTAAAAGATGGCTGTGTCACAATAAAACTTTACTCACAAAAACAAACAGTACAGATTTGGCCCATAGCTCATGATTTGACAATGCCTAATTCGACAAAATAGTGTAAGTTCTTTATCATAAAAGAAATTTAAAATGTTCACAAATACATTTAACATTGAGAAAAAAATCAAAGTTAGACAGCCTGAGATCTAATCACAGCTCTGCCACTCTCTGATGCTCCATTTTCTCATTTTAAGTAGAGACGAGAAAGTAAATGCAGTGTTTTAAAATATATCCACAAGTGTTTTGACATGCTGTCTTTCAAAAGGTAACGTGTAATTCCCTTTCCCCGAATATGGACGGGACATAATGACTCCAAATGAACAGAATGTTGCAGAAGTTGTGTTCGCATAATTCCCAAGGCTAAGTTAGAAAAAAAGATGATTCAGTTTCAACTTGACTCCCTCTCAGGATAATCACACATAAAACACAACAGCCAAGCTGTGAGAAACCCAAGTGGCCAAACAGAAAGGCCATGTCGAGATGTTTTGACCAAAGGCTCCACCAGAGGTCCCAGCCAACAGCTAGCATCATCTGCCAGACATGCAAGTGATTGGACCACAGATGATTCCAGTCCCCAACTTTTGGAATAATACAATTGATGCCAAGTAGAGCAGAAATATTTGTCTACACGAACCTCACATAGATTGTAGAAACTCAAGTAAAATAAACTCTGTCATTATCTGAAACCACTAAGTTTTGGGGTGATTTGTTACATAGCAATAGATTGCCAGAACAAAAGGATTCCCAGAGACTCCTCTCTTACTACAATAAGAGAATTTTGTGGGACTCTCCCTAATCTATAGACCTGCTCACTTGGATCTTCGTACCAAAGACAAGTATATGCGTGCACTTGACTATTGAAGAGAGCTTCTCAACCATCAAGGAGAAGTCTCAGAAAACAAGCCAGAATACCATCAGAAGCCACAGAGAGGATTTAAGAGGCTGAACCTAATGATCTAACCTGGAATGTGACCAAAACTCTAGGTTTGACACTTCCAGTTCTTTTTAAAACGATGTCATGGGACTTTCAATAACCAGCCTAGATCAGGACTAGAGCCACCCAAACCATCTTTATGTGAAATGGAACACCACTGCTGAAAAATAGGCCAATGAATTTTGAACTAGAAAGTTTGGGCTTTAATTTATTTTGACCAGAATTCTTTTCAACAGAAATGTAAATCAAATTTTAAAAGCTGGCTTCTAAGAGACATGAATGCCTACAGATCAGTTACAATTGGTTAATTTAAGGTTCATTCTTAAGTTCAACATTATAAGATGGAGTCTGGGAAACAGAATGCCTATACTTTTTATTCTAAATATTGGGATAAAAACCTCTATGACTAGGATAATTCTTTCATAAAGACAAAGATGATAGTAAGAATAAAAGAGAAAAAAGAGAATAAACCTATAAACACGGGATTGTAGCTTGATGATATGATGTGTGGATGGTGTGTATGAAAAGAGAAGGCGTTGGTTGAATAAGTGAGTAGGTGCAAGTGAATATAAATCCTGAAATTAAAGAACAAGCCTTTCAGAGAATGGAATATGAGAAAATCCTTCAACTTCATTTCTTTGCAGCACCTTCTTCCTTTCCTAAAACTACATGCTTTAGTGACACTGACCTACTTACTCATTCTTCAGTTTGCCATTTTTTCCAAAATGACATAACTTTACTACTCTAGGCTCTTTTCCTAGAATGTTCTCAGAGCAGTGTTTTGAAGTAGAAGAAACATGCAGTCATGCAACCATTGATTCAGAGGTCACATCTGCCTCTATCAAACTGTGTAAACTTGAGCCTTTGTTATTTATGACCATTAATTTCAAAACCAGTAAAATCGGGATAAGATATCCAGCCATATGATGATCACAGGGTTCAAGTAAGGCAATATTCATGAAACACTGACCACAATACCGCAAAACAACATGTAGGCCAAGTTTAGTAAACATTAATTTTCCCAGAGCCCCCAATTTACTACTCCATGACTTCTACTTAGGCTTTACAATCTGATGCAGTGTCACCTCCTCCATGCAGTCCTTGCCAAAGCCCCCAAGCAAAACTTGGTATCTTTCTCCAAGCTGTCAAAGCATCTTAGTCATATTGTATGGTCTTAGTATGATTACGTGTCTATCTACCCCATGTGGATTTGCACTTTATCAATTCCTTGTGTTTCGTACCTTCATCATGACAGTCTAGGGATTTTTGTTTTGTAACAAAGGCATTCATCAAGATGACATTTATAAAAATTAGTATGTACTATTTGAGAATGTTGAAATGTGGATTACTCAGTTCTTGGAAGTGTTTTAGCCTGCATTGCAGAGACCATCACTCTCTCTCCCCTCTGGTTCCCGTTTGCCCAGCTATCACCCTTAATTGATTTATGGGGGGCCCTGCTCTTCTTTATGACCTTGCCTCTCATGTTCTCTCAAGTTAAGAGTTTCTTTTTGTAAAACTATACCTTTGTTAATGAAATATGACCAATGGATGCTATAAAGCACTCTTGAAACATGTAATACAACACATTATATACTGCCCAAAGGGGTAGTACTAACTACAAAGGATGAAAAAACCACTACTGTAAAAGTTTACTTTTAGGAATTAGTATTTTTCTCCTTATGTTTTAACCTCAAAAAAGGTTTACACTCTGATCCCTTTACTTCAATCTACATATTCTTAAACTGCTAAATGTCTAGAAATAATTATAATCCAACTAATGTTTACTCAGTATTTACCATGGCACAACACTAGAAAAGCGTTTTATGTGTCGTCTCATTGTATTGCTATGGCAAACTTACAGGAGAGATAGTATCGTTATGCTGGTTTCACAGATGAGGAAGTTGAACCATCATTAGACTAATTCTAATTTTAAAAGCCTGGTTCGCACATTATGCACTATTTATACATGAATTATTATATTAACAGAATTAGCTACCTCCTAGGGTTTATGATATTTTCATTATTTTCTTTTGTAACATTTAGGTACATAAAGAGCCTATGTTAAGATTTTTCTAGCTATAAATAAAGCAGCTTTGGTTATCTGATTGTCTTCTGTCATTTTACAGGAATGCATATAAATAGGAAACCAAGTAAATACATTTTATTAAAAATAGGAAACAGACAAAGAAAAAGTCAAAAAGTTCAGGATGGATGATTCTTACTACAGGCACTGAAGGGGAGGAACTGTGGCAAAGGGTTACACAAGAACATACAACTTCCTGAGCAGTTGAAATAATCAAAAAGAAACAGAAGCTATCCTAATAGCAACATTTATTTACTTTTACCAAAGTAGTAGGTGTCTAAGATCTACAGTGAGCTACTGATTTTTGCATTTACTCTACTGATTTCCTTGTAATAAACAGAAAACTGATCAAAGGTAGCCTTCTCAAATTACTTACATTTATTACAAGATTATCCTACCATAACAAACAAATCTCCAAAATAGAATAATTTGATTTTTGTGGACCAAATGTTGTTATTTATACACATTCATTCTCCTTGACACGCATATTCCTTTAGGGTAGAGGTAAAAGCCCTTAGGTGAGTGCCTATGATGGTCCATTAATGCCTTAGGCCATTTGGGCTGCTATAACAAAGTACCATAAACTAAGTGGCTTATAAATAACACAAATTTATTTCTCAAAGTTCTGGAGGCTATGAAGCATAAAGCCTTCTGTTGCCAGCAGATTCAGTGTTTGGTGAAGGCTGAATTTGTGGCTCATACACAGTGATATGGTTTGGCTCTCTGTCCCCCCAAAATCTCATTTCAAATTGTAATCCTGCGTCAAGAGAGGGACCTGGTGGGAGGTGACTGGATCATGGGGGCAGTTTCCCACGCTGTTCTTGTGATTGTGAGTTCTCACATGATCTGATTGTTTAAAAGTGTTTAGCAGCTCCCCAATCACTCACTCTCTCTCCTGCTGCCTTGTGAAGAAGGTGCCTGCTTCCCCTTCGCCTTCTGCCATGATTGTAAGTTTCCTGAGGCTTCCCCAGCCATGCAGAAATGTGAGTCAAACCTCTTCTGTTTATAAATTACCCAGTCTCAGGTAGTTCTTTATAGCAATGTGAAAATAGACTAACACACACAGCATCTTCTTACTGTGTCTTCACCTGGTTAAAAGGGTGAGAGGTCTCTCTCAGACCTCTCTTATAAGGGCATTGATCCCATTCATAAAAGCTATGTACCCATGACCTAATCACCTCCCACAGCACACCCCTCCCCCCCGTCCTAATATCATCACCTTGGGGATTAGGATTTCAACATATAAATTTGGGGGAACGAACATTCAGACCACAGTAAATAGCAATGTCTTGGGGGGATAAAGACTCGGGGCCTTTTTAAAAATATATCAAATGCTTTCTCCCTGGTAGCTTCCTAGGCCATTGCTCTAGATTGAATCCAATAAGAAATCCCTCATGAGAGCAAATTCCAAAAACTAGACCTTCCAGAAGGAGAACAGAAAAGAGAGAGCACACTGTGCATATTTCAGTGGGAGCAATTGTCAGGGAGTGTAAGATAAGAGATCTTATACTCCCGTATTCTGATTAGTTCCTCCAGGAATTTTTCTGCTCACACCCTTGATAAGATTGCTTGCATGCAAATTATAAAACAACAATATATTGTTTGTAGATATGATTAGTGTCTATGTTGGTTCTATTATCTTACCAAAACTAGCCTTTATAGTCATGCAAATAAGGTATCCCCGATACACTATGTTAATAAATTTAGTGGTGTTGATTAGTGGTATCTTATGAACATCTCAGTGTATGCAGAAAACGTTAACAAAATTTAACATCAATTCAGGATTTTAAAAAAATCTCTTAGCAAACTATAACTACAGAGTAACTAAATCAATCTTACAACAGGCATCTGCAAAGAAACCTATTAATATCATATGCAGGTCCTGCTGAAGAAATAAGGTTGTTAAAAAGAAGCAAAGTAATAAAGTTTGAAAAGAAGGAAACACAAATGTATTATGAGACTATATGATTATATACATAAAAAATCCTAATGAATAGTATTGATATTCAGTATATCTCTAATGTCAAATTAATTATGTGCCTAGTAGCAAGAATAATATCCATTCATTTCCAATGCATTTTACCAATTACCATATTCATCAATAAATTACACATTATATTTGACCATTATGTGTATCTATGAATAAAAGAAGAATATTAATTTGGGAATAAAACATATGTTGAGTATTATGTTGCATACCTACCATCACAATTAGTTCCTGACCTCAAAGAGTTTATAGTCTTGTGAAATCCAAGACTTAATATGGGACTTAGAAAACATTTACATTTTACAATTAAATTCACAATTAATCAGTATGCATGATGGTTCTATTTTCCATGAGCCACAACTTACTGGTCAGCCTCTGCTGTTATTGTCATAGGTAAGTCAATTGTCCCCATGGCCATTTACTAGTCAGATGGGATAATAAAAACTAAATCTGAGATGTGACAAGACTTGGGTAGGGTACAATATATGGTCCTCTCTACTTCACGCTATAATCGCACTACCGCACTACAGCCTGATACCCTGTCCCTATTAAAAAAATTAAGAAAGATAACTTACAAGGTTCTACTTCTTAAACTCTGTGGTTTGTTTGCAGTTTTCTAATAAGCTAACCAAGTTTGAATAATGACATTTGAGCTCTCTGATTTTTCCTTGATGTAATTTTCACATCAGTTAAAAAATGATTATGAGAATGGGCCATAACATGTAGCCAACTGGAGTTTTGGAAAACTTGGCAGGTGTTAATGTTTGAGAATCTCATTTATTTTTTATTAACCACTCAAGAACAAAGAAAATCGTATAAATCCTGCCAGAAAATATCAGAAGTTTGGGTTATTTTAGATGGTGGTAACTGCCCTAGTGGCTTTTAATTAGCCATATTGTGCCTAACATTTAGAATGTTTATTTTTGCTCTTGCACTATTTTCAGAAACAATTAATAAGAGCCAAACCATTTATAGATGCACATAACCAAACCAAAATCAGAGTATTCACAAACATATTAACCCAAGCATGCAGATCAAACAAAACATTAAACTAGGCATACAGAACTAAAGTGCATAGATGGGGGGACCTCTCCTCAAACCAAGGGAAGCAGTGAAGGACTGTGATGCCCACCAGGGTTACTATGCTTTTTCCACAGATTTTTGCAATCCACGGATCAGGAGATTCCCTCATGAGCCTACCCTACCAGGGCCCTAGGTCTCAAGCACAAAACCAGGTGGCTATTCAGGCAGGCACTGAGCTGCAGGAGTTTTTACATACTGCAGTGGCACCTGAAACTCCAGCGAGACAAGAGAACTATCCACTCCCGTGGAAAGGGGGCTGAAGCCAGGGAGCCAAGCAGTCTCGCTAAGTGGGTCCCACCCCCACGGAGCCCAACAAGCTAAGAACCACTGGCTTGAAATTCTCACTGCGGACACAGCAATCTGGAGTCTTCCTGGGATGTCCAAGTTCCCAGGAGGAGGGGTGACCACCATTACTGTGGCTCGAGTCACCGTTTTTCATCTGACAGTGCTAAGGAGACTGGGAGGTTTGGATTGGGTGGAATTCCCCACAGCACAGCTAAATGGCTGTGGCCAGACTGCTTCTCTAGATCCTTCGTACCTGGAAGGAGGAAGTCCAGCAGCTCCAGGGGCTTACAGACAGAACTCTCATCTCCCTCAGACAGAGCACCTGTGGGGAGGTGCACTCGTGGCCTCAGGTTCAAAGGCCTTAATCTTTCCTGCCTGCTGGCTCTGAAGAGACCTGCTGATTCTGATGAGGGAGATTCCCCCAGCATAGTACACCAGCTCTGCTAAAGGACAGACTGCCTCCTCAAGTGGGTCCCTGATCCCATGCCTCCTGACTGGGTGAGACCTCCCAACAGGGGTGGACAGATACCTCATACAGGAGAGCTCCAGCTGGCATCAGGTCTGTGCCCTTCTGGGACAAGCTTCTGCAGAAGAAGCAGATGGCAATGTTTGCTGTTCTGCAGTTTCCACTCGTGATACCCAGGTGAACAGGGTCTGGAATGAACCCCCGGCAAACTGCAGCAGACTTGCAGAAGAGGAGCCTGTTAGAAGAAAAACAAACAGAAAGAAACAACGACAACCACATTAACAAAAAAGACCCCATAAAAATCCCACTTTGGATTTCTGTGACCTCACAGAAATCCAAAGGTCAACAGCCAGCCTCAAAGATCAAAGGTAGATGAATCGACAAAGATAAGAAAGAAACAGTGCAAAAATGCTGAAAATCCCAAAAGCCAGAATGCCTCTTTTCCTCCAAATTATCACAACACTTCTACAGCAAGGGCGCTAAATAGGGCTGAAGCTGAAATGGATGAACTGACAGAAGTGGCTTCAGAAAGTAGGTAACAATAAATTTCACTGAGCTAAAGTATTATGTTCTAATCCAATGTAAAGAAGCTAAGAACCATGACAAAAGATTACAGGAGCTATTAACCAGAATAACCACTTTCAGGAGGAACATAAATGACTTAATGGAGCTGAAAAACACAGCAGGGTAACTTTGTGATACAAACACAAGTATCAATAGCTGAATCACCCAAGTGGAAGAGAGAATATCAGAGCTTGAAGACAATCTTGCTGAAATAAGGCAGGCAGACAAGATTAGAGAAAAGGGAATGAAAAGTTATGAACAAAATCTCCAAGAACTATGGGGCTATGCTAAAAGACCGAACCTACGACCAACTGGAGTACCTGAAAGAGATGGGGAGAATGCAAAAAAGTTGGAAAACACATTTCAGGACATCATTCAGGAGAACTTCCCCAACCTAGCAAAACAGGTCAATATTCAAATTCAGGAAATCCAGAGAACACCAGTAAGATACTCCACAAAAAGGTCTACCACAGCAGACCTCTCAGTGGAAACCCCACAAGCCAGAAGAGACTAGGGACCAATATTCAACATTCTTAAAAAAATGAAGTTCAAATCCCAGCACTCTGGGAGGCCGAGACGGGCGGATCACGAGGTCAGGAGATCAAGACCATCCTGGCTAACACGGTGAAACCCCGTCTCTACCAAAAAAGACAAAAAACTAGCCGGGCGAGGTGGCGGGCGCCTGTAGTCCCAGCTACCCCGGAGGCTGAGGCAGGAGAATGGCGGGAACCCGGGAGGCGGAGCTTGCAGTGAGCTGAGATCCGGCCACTGCACTCCAGCCTTGGCGACAGAGCGAGACTCTGTCTCAAAAAAAAAAAAAAAAAAAAAAAAATGAAGTTCAAACCTAGAATTTCATATACAACTAAACTAAGTTTTATAAGCAAAAGAGAAGTAACGTATTTTTCAGATAAGCAAATGCTGAGGGATTTTGTCAGCACCAGGCCTGTCTTACAAGAGCTCCTGAAGTAAACACTAAACATGGATAGAAAAAAACATTACTAGCCACTACAAAACATACTGAAGTATAGACCAATAACACTATGAAACAACTACATTAATAAGTCTGCAAAATTAACCAGCCAGCATCATGATAACAGGATCAAATTCACACATAACAATATTAACCTTAAATGTAAATGGGCTAAATGCCCCAATTAAAAGACACAGAATGGCAAGTTGAATACAAAGACAAGACCCATTAGTGTGCTGTATTCAAGAGACACATCTCATGTGCAAAGACACACATAGACTCAAAATAAAGGGAAGAAAATAAAGGGATTAAGGAAAATTTACCAAGCAAATGGAAAGCAGAAAAAAAGCAGGGGTTGCAATGCTAGTTTCTGACAAAATAGACCAACAAAGGTCAAAAAAGACAAAGAAGAGCATTACAAAATGTGAAAGGGTTCAATTCAACAAGAAGAGCTAACTATCCTAAATACATATGCACCCAAATCAGGAGCACACAGATCCATAAAGCAAGTTCTTAGAGACCTACAAAGAGACTTGGACTCCCACACAATAATAGTGGGAGAATTTAATACCCTATTGTCAGTATTAGAGACAGAAAATTAACAGATATTTAAGACTCAAACTCAGTTCTGGATCAAGTGGACCTGATAGATATCTACAAAACTCTTCACCCCAAAACAACAGAATATACATTTTTTTCAGTGCCACATGATACTTTAAAATTGATCACATAATTAGAAGTAAAACACTCCTCAGCAAATGCAAAAGAACTGAAATCATAACAAACAGTCTCTCAGGCCACAGCGCAATTAAATTAGAACTAAAGATTTAGAAGCCCACTCAAAATCACACAACTACATGGAAATTGAACAACCTGTTCCTGAACGACTGCTGGATAAATAATGAAATTAAGGCAGAAGTCAAAAAGTTATTTGAAATCAACTTTGAGAACAAAGAGACAACATGTCAGAATCTCTGGGATGCAACTAAAGCAGTGTTAAGCAGGAAATTTATAGCACTAAATGCCCACTTCAAAAAGCTAGAAAGATCTCAAATCAACACCCTAACATCACAACTAAAAGAACTAGAAAACCAAGAGAAAACAAACTCCAGAGTTAACAGAATACAAGCAATAACCAAGATCAGAGTGGAACTGACAGAGATAGATACAAGGAAAACCCTTCAAAAAAATCTATGAATCCAGGGACTGGTGTTTTGAAAAAAATCAATAAAAGAGACTGCTAGCAAAACTAATAAAGAAGAAAAGAGAGAAGATTCAAATGAACACAATCAGAGACAATAAGGGGGATATCACCACTGACCCCACAGAAATACAAATAACCATCAGAAGACACTATAAACACCTCTATGCAAATAAACTGGAAAATCTAGAAAAAAATGGATAAATTCCTGGACACATACACCCTCCCAAGACTGTACCAGGAAGAAGTTGAATCCCTGAATAGGCCAATAACAAGTTCTGAAATAGAAGTAGTAACAAATAGCCTACCAACCAAAAAAAATCCCAGGTCCAGATGGATTTACAGCTGAATTCTACCAGAGGTACAAAGAGGAGCTGGTACTATTTCTTCTGAAACTATTCCAAACAATTGAAAAGGAGGGACTCCTCCTTAGCTCATTTTATGAGGCCAACATCATCCTGATACAAAAACCTGGCAGAGATGCAACAAAAATAGAAAACTTCAGGCTAATATCCCTGATGGACATTGGTGCAAAAATCCTCAATAAAATACTGGCAAACCAAATCCAGCAGCACATCACAATGTTTATCCACCACGATCAAGTTGGCTTCATCCCTAGGATGCAAGGATGGTTCAACATATGTAAATCAATCAATGTAATTTATCACATAACAAAACTGAAGACAAAAAACACATGATTATCTCAATAGACACAGAAAAGTCCTTTGATAAAATTCAACATCCTTTCATGTTAAAAACTCTCAACAAACTAGGTATCGAAGGAATATACCTCAAAATAATAAGAGCCATTTATGACAAGCCCACAGCCAATATCATACTAAATGGGCAAAAGCTGGAAGCATTTTCCTTGAAAACTGGCACAAGACAAGGATTTCCTCTCTCATCACTCTTATTCAATGTAGTGTTGGAAGTTCTGGCCAGGGCAATCAGGCAAGAGAAAGAAATAAAGGATATTCAAATAGGAAGAGAGGAAGTCAAATTGTCTTTGTTTGCAGATGACATAATTCCATCTCTAGAAAACCCTATCATCTCAGCCCAAAAGCTTCTTAAGCTAACAAGCAACTTTAGCAAAGTACCAGGATACTAAATCAATGTGCAGAAATCACAAGCATTCGTACACACCAACAACAGACAAGCAGATACCCAAATCATAAACGAACTTCCATTCACAATTGCCACAAAGAGATTAAAATACTTAGGAATACAACTAACATGGAAAGTGAAGGACTTCAAGGAGAACTACAAATCACTGCTCAAGGAAATCAAAGCGGACACAAACAGATGGAAAAATATTCCATGCTCTTAGATAGGAAGAATCAATATCATGAAAATGGCCATGCTGCTCAAAGCAATTTATAGATTCAATGGTATCTCCATTAAACTACCGTTGACATTTTTCATAGAATTAGAAAAAAAATTAAAATTTATATGGAACCAAAAAAGAACTCGCATAGCCAAGACAATCCAAAGCAAAAAAAAAAGCTGGAGGCATCACACTACCTAACTTCAAACTATACTACAAAATCACAGTAACCAAAACAGCATGGTACTGGTACAAAAACAGGCACATAGACCAATGGAACAGAACATTGACCTAAGAAATAACACCACATATCTACAACCATCTGATCTTCAACAAACCCAGTGAAAACAAGCAATGGGGAAAGGATTCCCTATTTAATAAATTGTGTTGGGAGAACTGTCTAGCCATATGCAGAAAATTGAAACTGGATCCCTTCCTTACACCTTGTAAAAAATTAACTCAAGATGGATTAAAGGCTTAAATGTAAAACCCAAAACTATAAAAACCATATAAAAAATCCAGGCAATACCATGCAGGACATAGACACAGGAAAAGGTTTTATAATGGAAGTGCCAAAAGCAATTGCAACAAAAGCAAGTGGGATCTAATTAAAGAGTTTCTGCAGAGTAAAAGAAACTAGCATCAGAGTGAACAGACAACCTACAGAATAGGAGAAAATTTTTGCAATCTACTCATCTGACAAAGGTCTAACATCCAGAATCTACAAGGAACTTAATCAAATTTACAAGAAAACAAACAATCCCATCAAAAAGTGGGTAAAGAATATGAACAGACGTTTCTCAAAAAAAGACATACATGTGGCCAACAAACATATGAAAAATAGCTCAATGTCACCAATCGTTAGGGAAATGTAAATCAAAACAACAATGAGATACCATCTCACACCAGTCAGAATGGCAATTATTAGAAAGTCAAGAAACAACAGATGCTGGCGAGTTTTCGGAGAAATAGGAACACTTTACACTGTTGGTGGGACTGAAAATTAGTCCAACCATTGTGGAAGAAACTGTAGTAATTCCTCAAAGATTTAGAACCGGAAAGACCATCTGACTCAGCAATCCCATTACTGGGTATATACCCAAAATAATATAAATAATTCTATTATAAAGACACATGCATGTATATGTTCATTGCAGCACTATTCACAATAGCAAA